ATATTTGCTTGTCCAATTTTTCATTAGATATTTAATGTATCATTTAATTTTCATGATAGATATTATTAAATACAATAAATTTATGCAAAAGTATTAAATAATATTTTAGCAAAATCATATTGAAACATTAAAGAGAAAAGTAGCTAAACAATATATGAATTAAAAACTAAAATTAAACTTTCTTTCACTTACAACTAATATTTTTTTTGAAATTTAATTATTTGAGTTAATTATTGCTCCAAAAGTTCGGAAATTTAAAGAAAGAAAGGAAGAGAAAAAAACAGACTCATTCAAAAAGAAGCGTAAGTTTTTTTTTTTTTTTAGAGTTCATATCTGTGACATCACGTAAATTTGCAAATTTTTCATTCTATTGATAACAGTTACAAATTGATGGATTACAAATTGCGTTAAATATATGATATTACTTCCTGTTGAATAGTTTCACAAAAGGAAAAAGCAAAAAGTAAGCCCAGTTTTGCAAATTAGATCATTTTAATTGGATTACGCTACATAAAATACAAAATTACTTTTCATGTGACGTGGCCAATATGTCACGTTTTACTTAAGCACGTGATATGCTTAGATGTTTAAAAAACGTGCTATAACATATCATATGTTTAATAAATGTGTTAGCGCATATCACATCATATTACATGCTTAAAAAGTATGCTATCATATATCACATCATATCACATGCTTAAAAAAACGTGTTGTCAAATATCTGACTTCTTCTACAGACTATAAATTAATTTTCGCGGAATGAAAAACTTTGCATTATTTGGTTTTGTATAATACGGTTTAACATAATGCATACGATACATTCGTTACGGTATGTTATGTAATACGGTGCGTTATATCATTTAATTTGCATGAAGTTAACTTATACATGACGTAACTTACTTTAATCAATTATCTTTTACAACATTGATGCACGAAACCTAACCTAATTTATTAATTGCAATAGGATTTTTAAAATTTTATCATCTCATAGCATAACAATAATTAATCAATTAGTCGTTATCAGATTATCTCGTAGCATAATTTACATTTGCATATGCTCTCAACAAATTTTTACTTAGTTTAATTCATTCATTCATTACATGTGGCATATTTCATATATGTCCCTCAATACTTGCAGATGACATGTTGACAAGAGTGCTTATTAATTGTCCACTCTAAGTGAACAGATTAAATGCACAAAATTGTGATCGTTTGATTAGATTTGATTTTAAAAAAAAATCATTTTTTTCATCTTCCCTTTTAATTAGCTCTTTTCTTTCATACAAAAAAAAAAAAAATAATAAAAATCACAACTAATAGATAGGGATGACAATATCGATTGATTGATTTGGATTATATTGGATTCATAATCATTTAAATGTCATCGTGCATAATTATCAAATAATGCAAATTTAAAATTTAACGAAGAAAAAAAAGGAAAAAAGAAGAAGGAATAAAAATGAAATAAAAAAACATATTATCATTTAACAATAAAAATATTCATCCATTATTTTTTCCAGTTTTTTTTTTCTTCAAAAAAAATTAGAAATGAAAAGTGGGAATGTTTTGAATTAATTTAATTATGCGTTCAATTTGTAAAATGTACTTCATCGATATATATATATACATATATGTGTCACCCTTTACAGATTAAATTATAACAAATATTCGATTGAAAAAAGTAAAAAAGTGAAATATACCGGTTTTATTAGATATGTAAAAAAAAAAAATAAAACTTTTTTTCCATCTTTTAAATTCATTTTGAAGTTTGTTTGCATAAAAAATTGTTAAATTTAAATTTTCAAACAAATTTTAAATTCAATTTTCGTTATGTCATATCATATGTGATAAATTTCATTTTATCATTGTAAACGACGTATAAGCAAGGTGTTCATATACTTGTCGCAGTGTTTATTGTTATTGTTAAAAATTATCAATGATTAAATTTTTTTTTTTTGTGTAGTTTATTGTTTGACGAAAAACAATATTTCAAGATGTATTAAAGATAAAAAATACGGTAATTAATGTCATAAAGGAATTTTTTCATAATTGGATAAAACCATTTCAAAAAAATTAGCTCAAAATTTAAGAAATTTTCAAAAATTTTAGAAATTTTTGGAATTTTTTGAAATTTTTTTGAAGATTTCTAAAAAGTTTTTACTTTGGAAAATTTATATTCATATTGAAGAATAAATTAATTTTCATTTTTGCGCTTACATTCCTACCATCAATCATCGAAAAACATTGCTTGATTAATAAGTTCAATTAATTTAACAATCAGCTTAATTTACTAAAAAGTGAATTCACTTTTTCGTTTATTCATTTATTTTATTTTATTTTATTCATTTATTTAATTATTCATTTGTTTTTTTCACTTATTTATTTGTTCATTTGTTCATTCTTTTTTAATTTTTCTTTAATTTTCTTTAATCTTTAATTTATTAATTTAATTTTATTATCATTTCTTTAATTTATGTGTCTTTAATTTACGTTATTTATTTATTCATTCATTCACTCATTTATTTATTTGTTTGTTATTATTATTAATTATTATCATCAATTATTACTGGGTGTCAGATAATTATTTCTTATTAAATTCCTATTCAAATGGTCACAAATAATCTGCTGCATATTACTTATCCATCTGAAAAGTTAATGATATAATTAACTTTAGTATCACATACAGAAGTTGTTGTCCTGTTGAATTTATTCAATAGCAATATCAAAGTTTTGCTTTTTTAGCTTGTAGAATTTGCATATGTGATATTGAAGTTATTAATTGCAGGTATGATTTTTCTCTTTTTTCTTATTAAGGAAAAAAAAAGAAAGTGAAAAAAAATGGATTTATTTATTTTTTTGGCATCAATTTGTATTTTAATTAAAATAGAATTTCAATAAATTTTTAACACCTTTATATACATTTTATTTTCAAAAGTCAAAATCAAATTTTGTTAAATTTTAAC